ACCTAGGGTGAATTTTAAATAGGGAATAATTTTTTAAAGATTTTAATAATGACACAGCCATAAATATATTTGGTTTTTAATTGGTTTTATAGGGGAAATGTTTTTTGTGTTGTTTTTTAATATGCTGTGAGCCGCCCTGAGTCCCGTGGGGAGAAGGGCGGCATAGAAGTTGGAAAAATAAATAAATAAATAAATAAATTGCTAAACTATATGAAGAACAGTTGCAGGAATTGGTATGTCTAGTTTAATGAAAAGAAGGACTAGTAGGGGTGACATGATAGCAGTCTTCCAATATCTCAGGGGCTGCCACAAAGAAGAGGGAGTCAAGCTATTCTCCAAAGCGCCTGAAGGCAGAAGAAGAAGCAACGGTTGAAAAATAATCAAGAACAGAAGCAACCTAGAACTAAGAAGAAATTTCCTGAGAGTGCGAACAATTAATCAGTGGAACACTTGCCTTCAGAAGGAAAACAGAAGCATAATCTTTTAGGAAATATATTTAACTTGGTTTAGAACTTAAATAAAATACAAAACTGCAAGATGTCTTGAATTTAAGAATCTAGTCTGCCTTCACTGAAGCCTCATCTCTCAAATATCAATAAACCGGATTCCAGAATATCTTAAGACACAACATGTAAATCCTTGGAAAGGACTCCTCACTTAATCCATTTGCTTTCTCTATCATACTCACAATTCTGTGCTTCATCGCGCTCCTCCACAGCAATGGCGCTCTGGAAGCTAAAATCCATAGCTTTCATGTGCCTCAGCATAGCATCAACCTCAGCTATCTTCTGACGAAACTCTTCTGCAGAGGTAGAACTAGTGTTGGCTGTGGTAAAAGTGTTCATCAGATGTATGAGATCTATATAAAAAGCCACAACAATTGAGGTGCATGATTTTTGGAAAGACCCATGCGCATATAAAAGCTCTCAACTTGATTTCCCTTTAATAAAAAGCCAATTCTCTCCAGAGTCGAAAATATTGTCAGATTCAGTATTCAGAACCAGCACCGTTTATAGCAAACTAATACCGCACTGAGTCTCTTCCCATGGAGGTTTTTGATATCATTTTATTTCTTTTTGCAAACCATTACTCCACTACATTCTTCCCTTTTTTTACATTTACCAGGATGTGCAACCGTGCTAGTATCAGGCCTACATTTGTATCTGTTCAAAGGTTATACAGGTACTCCTCAACTGAGCCTAAAAGTTATGTTGCTAAGTGAGAAATTTGTTAAGGGAGTTTTACCCCATTTTATGACTTGGCTTGTCGCAATTGTGAAGTGAACCACTGCAGTTTAGTTAGTGACATGGTCGTTAAAGTGAATCTGGCTTCCCCATTGACTTTGCTTGTCAGAAGGTCACAAAAGGGGATCATATGACCCTGGGACACTGCAACTGTCATAAATATGAACCAGTTGCCAAGCATCCAAATTTTGATCACGTGACCCCGGGGATGCTGCAATGGTCATAAGTGTGAAAAATGGTCACAAGTCACTTTTTCCAGTGCCATTGTAACTAAACAAACTGTTGTAAGTCAAGGACTACCTGTACATATCACAAAACTAAGTATACCCCTATCTTTCCAATACACATTCAAGCTTACAAACATTTTCCATCTTTCAGCTACCAAAATGCCTTTTAAATATATAACTAAGGGAAATAATTTCAGTATGAAAGAACCCCTGGACTGTGACCATCTTCTGCTTTCTGTTTTTCAATGATTTACATGTACTCCTTGACTTACGACCGCAA